ACGTGCACAAGCAATTTTCAGGTTTGACAGATTCTGGAAATTTGCGTATTTGATTTTGTAAAATTAATTAAAAATAGTAAATAAACTCCAAAAATCATGAAATTTTTAGGGAAAGTTCTAGACATGTATATTAATATTCTAGAGAAAGAATATTTGAAAAATCACTTCCCAGTTGAGAGAAATAAATGTTTGAACACAGATAAATAGTTTCTAAAAAACTACTGAAAACTCGGTTTTGTAAATTCAATTGAAAATAACAAAACAACTCCAAAATTAGTAAAACTTGGGGAAATGTTTGTATATATGAATATAAACATGTAAACAAAGAAAATTTTTCAAATTTCCTTTCCCAATTATGAAAACTCATGTATTTTGCAAGTATGTCCAAAACATGAAAAGATGATATACATGAAATTTGATGTTCTGACATACAAACAACTTTGAAACATTTTCAAACGTTCTTATAGACTTAATAAAGGATATAAAATGTTGTTATGAATTCTATAAATTAAAAACACAATATTTTCACAAATATGCATATTCCATATATATAACTATATATATATACAAGAAACCAAAAACATATATGTATATATATAAACTATATATATATATATATACAAAACCAAAACGTGTATGTGCGTATATGATTGAGCTTAAAGTACTAACACACATAATATAAAACATAAAACTAAATTACCCAAGCTTGATATTGATCTTCAATAAGCTTGACTTGGTACACTTGCGGATGAAGCTTGAACTTGGATCTTAAACTTGAATTGCATTACTTCAACCACTATATCCGCCATCCTCCATTTGATATGATCGTTATGGCGCAATCCATCAAACCTCCAACATATTGTTTGTCTACAATAAGTAACAAAATACAAATACTAGACAAACAATATTAGATATAAATTGTTTGCTAAATCACCATCAAAACAAGAAGGCCAACAGTCAAGACCGGGGCTGAGATCAATCGAGACTTCAACTCCTCGAACGCCTGCTCACAAGCGTCGGACCAGACGAATTTAATATCCTTCCTCATAAGATGCGTCATCAACTCCGCGGTCTTCGAGAAATTCTTGATGAAGCGTCGATAGTATCTAGCTAGTCCTAGGAAGCTCGTAATGTCAGATACTATCCTAGGCATAGGCCAATCCCTAACAACAGATACTTTCTCCGGGTTCACAGATATATCGTCTCCTGATACCACGTGTCCTAGAAACGTGATGCGATCTATCCAAAACTGGCACTTACTATACTTAGCGAACAGTAGATGCTCTCTCAGGGTATGCAACACGTACCGCAAGTGTTCCGCATGCTCCGTTTCACTCTTGGAGTATACTAGTATATTATTAATAAAAACCTCTACAAACTTGTCCAGCACGTCGTAGAACACCAGATTCGTCAAGTTCATGAATGTTGTCGGCGCGTTAGTCACACCAAATAGCATCACCAAGAACTCTTAGTGTCCGTATCTCATCCGGAATGTAGTCTTTGGAACATCAGAGTCTTTGACTTTCACTTGGTGATATCCGCTCCGCATATCCAACTTAGAAAATACTCTCTATCCTCCTAACTGGTCAAAGATATCATCGATACGAGGAAGAGGATACTTATTCTTCACTGTCATAGCATTCAACTCCCGGTAGTCGATGCACATCCGCTTGGATCCATCCTTTTTATTCACTAGCAATACAGGTGCTCCCCATGTCGATACACTAGGTCGTATCAAACCTCTCCGCATAAGATCATCCAACTGAGTCCAAAGCTCAGCCAACTCAGCCAGAGGCATACGATAAGGGGTCTTGGAGATTGGGACAGTACCAGGCTTTACTTCTATGGAAAACTCGATCGCCCGATCCGGTGGCAACCTGTAAATGTCATCGGGGAGTACATCTTCAAATTCTTGAACTACAATTGGATTTTTGGGTTCCACTTGCATGGCAGCAAATGACGCCTCCTTCGGTCTAGCTCTGTGCTTCACAGGTCTAGCTGAGATACTGTCATTGAGGAATTCAAACCTCGAGTGATCCGGTATCTCAAATACCACACTCCGACGACGAAATCGATAGTGGTGAAGAATGTCCCCAACCAATCCATTCTAAATACTGCCTCGAAGTTCGGCAAATCGATCACCAAGAAATCTGCAAATAGTTCTCTCCCACAGATGACTACAGGACATGCTTCATAACCGCTAGATGCCACGAAGACACCACTGTCAGTGTTGATATTCTAGCCCGAGGAAAGAGAAGTTATAGGAAGTGAGTGTGTGGTCACGAAGCGACGAGATAAGTAACAATGGGAAGCTCCTGAGTCAAAAAGTGGTAAGGAAGGAACGGAAGAAACAAGAACCTTGCCTAGTGCAAAAGAAGAAGAAGAACACAATTAAGTTAGCATTCATAAACAAATCCTATCATAATATCATCAGGCAATACTAATTAAGGAAAAATCATATGCAAGCAAAACTGAGAATGAACAACTCTTACCAGTAATTGTTAGACCCTAGAGGGGGGGTGATTAGGGTCTTATACTAATCTAATCCGATTTTATGCTAATATAAAACTAATTAATAAGTTATCCTAGCAAGTATGAAATACAACTAGATATATGAGCTAGGATAAGCAATATGAACAAATGAATATATCCTAGCAATGAGATATTACAAAAATATGAGCAATGATATATAAACTAACACAAGGGTAAAATAAACAATCTACAAAAGAGATAGGGCAATATGAAGAGTAATACACAAAGGCGATATAAGATATGAATACAAGAATAAGAACGCTAATGCAATCACAAACAAAACGATATGATCACGGAGTTCGATCTAACCACTTGACCTACGTCTCCGCTCCTCACCTCGAGGAGATATCCACTATCACAACCGGGTTTTCTACGTTTATCCGAATAACGTTTACACCACACAATACGATTTTCTAGTTTACCAAAAACTCTACAACTAACACACTCTTGTAACCCCACTCTACACCCTCTCAAGTGTTGAACTAGACGTGTCTCCCTCAAGTGTTCGGATACAACCTCTCCTTGGTTCGTCAACCGATGCCACTCCTCTTGGGACGATCCCCGACTCTCGCCACACACTTCTCTCAGTGTACAAGTATATTACAAAGTGAATCTCACAATAAGCATAATACAAACTGTTTGTTCTCTACAATGGATGAGAACGAATTATAAGCTCACTCTCTAGGTTACACAATCCCACAACCCAATTATACTATGAATGTAAATACAATAAGCTCAATGGTTGTGTGTGTGTAAATAAAGAGAAAATAAAATCAACTAAACTCAATATGAACACTAGCTTAATAAAATGATAATCAAACAATATAAAATATAAAGCTAGATTGAGTTTAGAAAACTTCTCAATAGATCAAGAGTGGAAGGAGAAGAGTTGGATGCTCAAACACCAATAGATGATCTCCTCAAGCTCTTGTGAAATTGATTTCACAAACTCAAACTCTCAAGTGCTTAAAAGCTTCTTAAACAAACTTAAACAACACTTAAACCCTTGTTAAAACTTTGTTAAAACATTTCTTAGATTGATGCTAGTAGAAGGGGTTTATATAGGAAGAGAAACCAACAGTAAAACCCCCAACCAAATCTCCCAAAAACCAAGAAAAAGATTTTTCAGATTTTGTACAAAAAGAATCGTTGGGCATACGGCAGTTGACCGTGGAAAACCCGCGGTCGACCGCGAGCCATATTTGAAACTGAGAAAATTCTAGAAACTTTTACGGTCGACCGTGATGGTCGACCGTGGGAATTTTTGGACTAACGGTCGATCGTGACGGTCAACCGTGAAAGCCTCTGCTGGTTCCTGAGGGAAAAACATAGGCGCGGTCGACCGTGGCGGTTGACCTCAAACTGATATATGAAAGTGACAGTTTGAAAACAGTTTTTCTGATTTAAAACCCTGTTTAAAAATATCAAATAAATTCCAAAAAATATAAAACTTTGGGGAATGATTGTAGACATGATAATAAACATGCTACAAGGACTGGTTTTCAAAAAGAACCTCCAAAATAAAAAATATTATTATTTTACAAAATAGTCCAAAACATGAAAATGTAAACACATGAATTTTGACATTTTAGCTTAACCATGTTTTGAAACATTACAAAATGATTATATAGACTTAATAAAAGATGTATATGATTGTTATTAAGTCCATAAACCATGAATATAGTATTTTATCAAAATACAAATATAATGCACTAAAACATGATTTCATTGAACTAAATAAAATTGATTATATGATTGAGCTTAAAGTACTAACACACATAATATAAAACCTAAACTAAATTACCCAAGCTTGATGATCTTCAACGAAGCTCTATCTTGGTACACTTGCGGATGAATCTTGAACTTGAATCTTTAACTTTGAATTGCGTAAGCTTCACTCCACAATTCCGCCAACCTCCATTGGATATGATCGTGAATGCGCAATTCCATCCATCCTCCAACACGTTGTTTGCCTAGAATAAATACGAAAATACAAACACTAAACAAACAATATTAGGAGTAAATTGTTTGTTAAACATCATCAAAACAAGAAGGCCAACAGTAATGACCTGGTCATTCACCTCAGCTTCCACTGCCGTCATCATAAATGTCTGACGCGGTGGTTGCTATCTCTGCGCCTCCTGAAAAAACTACTTCTGAGGAAGAAGAGGCCCTACTTGGGGATAGGGTCCCTGCTGACCCGATGCTACTGGGGCAAGTCGAGGTGGAGCTGGAAAAGCTGCTCGAACTGGAGGTGGGGGCAAGCGAGCCTACTGTCGCTACAGACAGTCTTGACTGACATGATCGGGGGATCCACATGTGTAGCACAGACGAAGACTCCTGTGATACTCCTGCTGGGTATGCCTAGGGTGGCTACAATAGAAACACTTCACCGAAGGCTGGTTGTGAGTCTGCACTCCAGGGCGCTGATAGGGGTGGCCCTGAGGAAGTGGTTGTCGTTGGAAAAACTACTGTCTTTGCGGAGCCTGCTGCTGCCTCGGAGGGGGACGCTCGACATTCCGGGCTGGGGCCACTGGTGGTCTGCTGTGGACCACATGCGGATCTTCGGGTTCCTTCTGAACACGCTCGATCTCGCGAGCTACGTCCAGCACGGTGTCATGAGTCGCAAGTGCCCTACCAGCCAGAGAAAATCTAATATACTTATCCAGACCCTTTTGGAACTGATGCCTCCTGATGGTGGGGTCGGTAACTAGGTAAGGAACATACCGACTAAGAGAGGAGAACTCAGCCTCATACTCATCAACCGATCGACCTCTCTTCTTGAGCTCGACAAACTGACGAAGCAGCTCGTCTCTGGAAGACTGGGGGAAATACTTCCTGTTGAAGCGCTCCGTGAATGTCTCCCATAAAATCGGCCTCACAAGAAGGTTCTTCTCGGCCATCCACCAAATCCGTGCAGTATCGGTGAGTTGGACATCCATAAGATCTACCCACTCTATAGGAGTAATACGGGTCACCGTGAGAATGGTCTCGGTAACCTTGATGAACTCCTCTGCCGCTAGAGGTCTGCCATCACCATAGAAGGAAGGAGGTCGCATGAACCAAAATTCCCTAACACCAGGCTCTGTGCGAGGGGGAGGCTGGTGAGACTCCCGCTATAATTGCCCAGCCAGATGCTGCTGATTTGTCGCCAATCCCTAAATCATTGCCAGGAGTTAGCGCAAGTTCACTTCGGTCTGCGGGTTACTACTACCGGACAGGTTACCATTGCTACGTGTACCCACCATAGTTCTGAAGGAAAGGCAAGAATCAAGACCGTTAGAGGAAGAATAAGAAAATCGGAGTCAAAATGGAAATTGAGTAAGGTAAGGACGAAAAATAATTTATCAAGTAATAGGATAAGATTCAAGTATAGTCTTATGGATGAAATATGATATGCGTCTAAATTATCCATCATATTCTCACTAGTGGGAACTCAGGACCGTGACCTGCATGGGCCATCATAAAAACCTATCATGCCCCACTTTCCAAAAATACTGGGGAATCGGAACGTGAACAAGCCCGCGACGTATTAGACTAAGGAGAAATGTACTAGACCTTCTACTCAATCTAATACGCTAAGAGTCAAGCAATATAAAGTGAAGTCACAGGTCCCCGATCACGATAGCAAGAATATAATAAACAACTCAGAACCAAAAGATAGATATCACAACTAAAATAATCATCCAGACATAATATTCGGGCCAAACATGCCCTTATACAAAACGATCTGAATGCTGGAAAATATAAAATACAATGATCAGGCGGAAATGAAAAGTGCTATAAAAGTAAACTAATGATCAACAGCTGATAAAAAAAATGACTAGGCTTCGGCTTCTTCTGCTTGGTCTACAAAGCACTCCTACGGAGGATCCTCTGGCTCCTGTATGACTCCGAACTAAAGCTGTCCGTCTTCTACATCTGACGTACAACACGAGAGAATAGGAGTACGTAAGCGTACATGGCGACAGCAAGATCCCACAAGGAAGAATAGAAACGATCGAACGACCAATGCAATAATAGTAATAATAATAGAAGCATGACACTAGAATTCTAATAATCTAAATACAATTCACTACTATAATATTCAGAGTAATCAAAAAATCAATCGGGTTACGAGGTCATGCAGCTAGCGATCAAAAAAATCATCCAAGTAACATGGTCGTACAACTAGATGGGATTAATACTTAAAAATCTACAACTCGAGACGTAGTACGTCGAGCGAAATAATCCAAACAAGGAAACCCTCATGTATCTACCATATGTCTCAAATTGTAGATAATTAAATATTAATCCCGATCTATGTATGAAAAAAAATATAACGGGTCCGTATCTTACAACAACTCGTAATCATCCAAGTAAAGATGTCATGTAACTAGCCATCCTATAACAGGTCACTGGTTCACATCTCACACAGAGTCAACGTTCATATTATCGGATAACTAACTGTTCAAAAATCCACTACGTGCATCCAGTAGGACTACACGCAATCCGACTCTGGTCTGGTCCGAACTCAAGTCGACTCGGGTGAATATTAAATTCATGGACCAAAGTAGTAACACTGATCTATTTTGACCCAACAAACCAACCCCAGTGGTGACACCGATCCACTGGTGCGAGTGTGGAAGATATATCAACGGCCTTATCCGATTACATGAACAGAGACTTTCTCACCCTAATATTGAAAGTACCCTAATGCCACTAGGAAGGAACCCTAGAGGGGGGTGAATAGAGTTTATGCTAATCTAATCCGATTTATGCCAATTTAAACTTATTGATAAATATATCCTAGCTAGAATGATATATTACAAATATATGTGCAAGTATATACAAATAACACAAGGGTGAAATAAACTACTAAACAAACAAGAGTGATAGTGCGCAAATAAACAATGCAAACATACAATATGATCACGGAGTTCGGACCTTCCGTCATACGTCTCCGCTCCCTACTCCCGGGGAGATATCCACTATAACACCGGGTTTTCAACGTTCACCCAAAAATGTTTACACCTCACAATACAATTTTCTAGTTCACCGAAAACTTTACAATCACTCACAATGTAAACACACTAACTATCACCTCAAGTGTTGGTCTTTATCCTGTATCTCCCTCAAATGTTAGGAATTACAATCTCTCTCTAGGCATTACCACCTACCCCACTCCTCTTGGGACGATCATGTCTCTCACCACACACTCCTCTTGGTGTACTACTGTAATACAAGGTGAATTTCATAATTAGGCACTCTAATACACTTCATACCCTCTAAGTGTTGGCCTAGCCCGTGTGTAAAACCCTGAAAAATTGAATATAGTGTGATAAATATGTTATATGGTGAAAATAATGTATTTTGATGTTTGAGTATGATAGGAATTGATTTGAGATTAATTCAATGTATATTTGTGAATATATGAGTGTAAATACACAAAACATGCACAAAGGCAAATAGTGAGAATCTGATAATTTTGACCAGTTGAGAGTTTTTATGGTTTGCACACTGTTTCAGTTAGAATATGGAAAAGTGTATAACACCAAAGTTGTAGGTCTCTTCAATAGCTTTCTAACGAATCTTAGATCACCTCATTCTGAGATTGTATGAGAAAGTTACAACCTTTTTACCGAACCCCAGTCTGAGTATGGCCCAAACCCTGCGCAGTCGACCGCCGTGGTCGCTGCGGTCGACCGCGCAGCGAACCTGGTTCTGCCAGTTCAGTTTCGGGTCAGGTTTTGTTTATACCAAACCCGGTTGTTACCCTACTTATATATACTCGTTTTGAAGCTCTCAGAACCCTCTATTGAACCCTAATAGCCTCAGCCCCCCTTCTCTCTCTCCTCTCAAACCCTAGCTCGGATTTTGGCGTTTTTAGGGCGTTTCGAGGATTTTCGGTGGAGTTTCGCGATTCAGATTGAAGGAGGATCGTTTTTGGGTGTTCATCAACCCCCCTCAGGCGAGTGACATCGCCCCCAGCCCTTCACCCACGTTTTTATGGGTTTTCTAATGATTTTTAATAAGTTTCTTGAGCCTAAATTATTATTTTGTGTAGATAGATGGATCTTTATGATATGAGATGTAAGAATCGAGTATTTTAGTTTTCAAATGCTCACCAACGATTTTGGTTAAAGAGATCTGATCTGAAATTTATATATTTTTTTAAAATCTAAGTTTTGATGCAAGTTTACTGTTTTCACAACGCTTCGATATGCATAAACATGTCTAGGGATTAAATGGTAGATCTTATAGAATAGTTTTTTTTTTGTTGTCTTCTATGGTTTATGCATTATTTAACATTGTGTAAATTATGTTTTTACAGCACTTGTACATGTTTAGGATTTAATTATTTGAGTCATTGCATCAGTACGTGAAATAGACAGAGAACCTGTAAATAACTCTCTGCCTATTTCGCGGTCGACCGCGGTGGACGCGGCGGTTGACCGCTTGGCGTGCAGCAGGGCAGAGGTTGTCTGCCTTATGTGCGGTCGACCGCGGGGCGTTCTGTCGAGCAGGATGCCTCTGCCCTATGCGCGGTCGACCGGAGTAGTCTCTGCGGTCGCCCGCCGCACTGTTTGTGCATGTTCTAATTTTGGTGCATACTTTTGTGTGTTCGAGGAGTTGCCTCGATTATTTAATGTTAGATTTTAGTGATTTATTATTTATCTGTACATGTGAGTTGACTTTTGACACAAGCACCGATCCGCACAACGAGGCACGTGTGACATGAGATTATGTGTATCTTTTGTGTATATATATATTCGACACTTACACTTTGTATAATTTTACAGTTAGTCCTCGTGTTGGACACTCATTCCAGTTAGTCCTCGTGTTGGACACTCATTCCATTCAGTCCTCGTGTTGGACACTCATTCCATTCAGTCCTCGTGTTGGACACTCATTCCATTCAGTCCTCGTGTTGGACACTCATTCCACTCAGTCCTCGTGTTGGACATGCATTGGTTATATTTAGTCCATGCGTTGGACATTGGTTATATTCAGTCCATACGTTGGACATTGGTGAGATTTAGTCCATGCGTTGGACATTGGTTATATTCAGTCCATACGTTGGACATTGGTGAGATTTAGTCCATGCGTTGGACATTGGTTATATTCAGTCCATGCGTTGGACATTGGTGAGATTTAGTCCATGCGTTGGACATTGGTCATATTCAGTCCATGCGTTGGACATTGGTTAGATTTAGTCCATGCGTTGGACATTGGTTATATTCAGTCCATGCGTTGGACACTCGTTACTTTCAGTCCATAGGTTGGACGTTTAATTTATATAGTCTATGTTTTGGACACTTAATCATTTTCGGACATGACACTCATGTGAGTTTGCATGACACTTGTGGTGGCCTTGTCATGATTTCATTTATCGGTAGAGACGGGTTTGTATTAGTTTTATTTATTGTTTCTTGTATTAGACTTCAGGTTTAGTATTTAGGGATTTATAATTTGAGATACAAGGTATATACATGAGGGTTTCCTTGTTTGGATTATTTCGCTCGACGTACCTACGCTCGTGTTGTAATTTCCTAAATACCAGAACCCATTGTTGTTAGGACAAATGATTTTATATTATTATGTATTAACTGTATTTTCATATACAACAAGCCCTATCCCTTAGGGTTGGTTGTGATGTTGCTCGCTAGCGCTTTGACGCTTGGACTTTGTATTTCTATATGTTGGATGATGAAATATCATTTTGATCTCTTTCATTTCATCAGTATCTCTTGTATTATCTTTTACTTGCTTTTGTACCTACACCTGTTGTTGACTCTACTAGAGAGATGTTAATTGTGATGGTAAAACATGTTATTGCACGGTGTGGTGCATGGCAGGTTTGACATTCTTGGTTTCACCGAGGACTGCAGCCTCGTGTGAACCCAGGGGCGTCACAGTTTGTATCAGAGCTCTAGTTCCAGTATCCTTAGGATCATCCTGTGTCGAGTCGTGGAGCTAGGATAGAGTTTCTTAGGATTCATGTATAGGGTCCGATAAGAATTTCCTAGTATGAGTGAGGATGATATATGCGTATATCTCAAAATTTGAGAATTTTTTT